TTGGATTAAATCAAAACAACCTAATAATATTAAATTGAAAGATACTACTATACATGGTTTTATGCTTCATAGATTTGAGCTATTTATTATTGTATATTGTAAGCCTTTATGTCGGTTTTCAATCAATACAAATCGACAAGCACTTGTGCTAATCTACATATAGAATGTTACTAAGCAATTAATATCACTTTCCAGAATATTATCAATAACATAATGTTCTGTTAATTACTAAAACATTAAGCATTGTCGTTATATTGTCTCTCAAAAGAAGCTTGAACTCTAAACATTTTTGTAAAATGTTCAGGACTACGTTGTATATTGCAGAGGTTTTCTTGATAATCTGTTTGATTGTAATTTCGTGTCTTAACACGAATCTAATTTAACTAGATTTAATTATTGGAACAATATATACTAGAACCATGATTTAATATCACACTTATTACACTCTGAGTTAGTATATACATATTATCTTAAAAAAAACGACACTAATCTTAAATTGCACCGCTTACAATGTTTACATGGAAACTAAACAACAATTTGACAAAAGCAGTGCTTTTTTGCAATCAAAAATGGAAAACACATATACCCGAAGAGAAAATAAATGCGATTATTATCACTAGAAAACAGAATCTTGAAGACAAAGAATGAAGACATATACGCATTGAACAACCTCAGACTTGTTTCCTAGCGATCATCATCATTAAGGAACAGAATCAACACCCACCAAGACTATATGTCAAAAACGCTTACGCTTAGAATACGCTTAAATACCCCCTCTACCTTATGAATTATCGCAAGCTTAACATAAGAAATAAACTATCCATTTATGCTTTAATAGTGAGACCGATATTGGATGGCTTTCAACGCTTCTAAAACGACACTTGGCCTTTCAGTTATGCCCATTCTAAAAACTGGAAAATATGAAAACTCTATAGACCTCCGTATCGAGACCTTGGCATCAATACTTATACAATAAAGTATTGAAATTTTTCTGTGCCATAGACTCTAATCCAAACACAATCCTCTCTGATGAATACAATAACCGTCACAAGTGGTAGTTATGCGGGCATTCACACAATATTAATTTACTACCATGTCAACAGAAGACTGAAATATTAAGTTCACTCAACGATTCAGTACAGGAGCTCTAGTTACCAACTCATAATGAACATAAGCAACCCATAACAGACCCTAATAAGAATAAAGAACATGGACTCGAACAACAACAATATTAGTTAGAACTCTTTCCCCATTTGGATTAACCTTGAAAAATATCTTTTGAATTTTTTCAAAGGAATTTTTGTTTATAAGATAACTTAAGCTGATTTCAGTATAATCCAGAACTTTTTGTTTAATTCTTTTTTTTATTGCTCTCAACTGCCTGTATTTTTAATCAAATCTAAACAATTTTAAAGTTCAATTCTATTTAAGGCTTTTGCATAAAGATAATGCCTAAGATAAACGGTTTGTTTTGTTTAAAACGCAAAAAAGTTTATTTCATTTAAATTTATTATTTTTTATTTACTTTTTATTAAGATTTCAAATTTGTAAAGAAGTATAAATTAATCGATTAATTAGATTATTATTTTAACCGGTTTAACCGGTTATTTTAAAACCGGTTTTTACATGTTGTTTTTTGTTGTATTTTCTAAAACTAAAATACTTGTAGTTGTATGTGGGTTATATCGTCATCTTAGTATGAAGAGTGACACGTTGTGCGGATACCAGAAGAAAGACCTACAGCTAGAATCTTTGAGAGTGTAGTTAGAACAGTGATTAGAAAAGGAAGACCGAGAAATAGATGGAGTGACAGTGTACGATATGATCTGAGACTTATGAACGTTAACAACTGGAAGTTAAAAACCAAAAATAGAGAAAAATGGAGAAATGTAAAACAAGTTTAGGTCCTATATGGACTGTATAGCTATGAATAATGATGGTGATGAATGAAAAGGTGTTAAGTTCATTTATCAAAGAAGAGTCGTGAAACCTAATACATGTTTTGCTTTTTGATATATTTTTAAAAATATTAAATGTTTTTAAATACAAGAAATCAATAATGTTACGATTATATATCAACCCTTACTTGTAAGTACATTTTCGCCATCTTTTAATTTAACCCGACATTGTGCTATATTTACCCATATATGTAAGTATAAGTATCTTGGCGTCTTTTCTGCTTTCAATTTATATGAGATTATTGACGAATATGTAAGTCAAGGGATGATAACATACATAAGCACTAATCTATATAGAACTACTTTGTAGGTAAATATTTTAGACTATATAGTGTAAGCATTATTAAAACTTTTTAAGAAGTAGTATTACTGTAATAAAAATATTATAATTAAAAAAAAAAAAAACATAAACATCAAATTTTATAAAATGTTTTATTGTTTATTATTTATTGTTTATTAAGTTATATTGTTTATGTATATAATGTTTATATAATTGTCTGTTTACTTGCAAAGTTGGGAAGGCAGTTGTCGAGTTGTTTACTTGTGCACTATTTTATTTTGTTTTTGTAATTCATTTAAATTTTCATTTAACCATTTAATTTAACCATTAAGGATGTTAAAACAATTACTGTTAATTATTTTAACTATTTTATAGGCAATTTTAGTTCCGAACTGTCCCATTAATGAAATTGTTTAATAGTGAAAATTGGTTTTACGTGTATTAAATATTAAATTTACACTTTTTTTTTCTAAATTTAATTTTATAATTCAAATTAATAGACTTTTGTATATGTACGTATGTATATGCTTGTAAAAATGTATGTACATACATATTCATATAAAGTTAAATTGTTTATATATTCTTACGAAAAATTTGACTCATTCAAATAATTGAAAATATTTAATATTTTTTGTTTTTTTAAACAAATTTTTTCTTCTCATTGTTTATTAAGAGCTAAAATAAACAATTTTTCATTACATTATCTTCACATACGTAAGTCGGTTGCATGTTATGCTTACGTGTATAAAAATGATTTTTTTATTCCAAATAAACAACGTAAAATTCCTCTAAAAACATTGGAAGAGATAATGGTACTTTCTTATAAGAGAACTATCTATATATTTTCTATTTGTAAAAACCCGAAATACAAATCTATATTATGTATAAATAACATTGCCAGCGTAACTATCAGAAAGGGACGCTATTCAAGATTTATATGTAAGAATAATATGTAATAATATGTAATAGAATAATCATCTTAAAATTATCGAAAATATATCGATATACAAGCATACACACACAGTTACATATTTCAAAGAAAACAATTAGGTTTGCGTCTGGGAATCCTATAATTAATACAGTTAGAGACGGTTAGAGTTCGTTAAGGAGTTTTAAAATAAATATGTTAACTTCTAGCAGAAAGAGTTATTTTCAGATGAAAGTAAATTTAAACTTCATGTGATAATCACGTTCAAATAAAGCGAGGGAGAAGTGTTATAGTGTAGAGCTATTTTGTGGCTTTGATGCTTATCTATGGAATCAAGAAAACTTACCAAAAAGTGCGAATGGATTTACCTTGAGAAGTTCGTCTTACTTTCAACAAGACAACGACCCCAAACACATCGCTCATGACGTGTGACTGTAAATTGAAGGAAAAATATGGGATCATATCCCATAACTGCGCCTTCAAATTCTATAATCTCAAGATATAAATATGATCGCACATTTGTAAGAGAACTTTGAAAGAAAAAACCGAATACATGCCAAGCCGCCTAAAATCAAGGAGAGAATCTACCCAGTATTAAGTTTAATCATTTTAACTTTGAATAATAAATAAGTATAAATTTTTTCATTTCCAACATTTAAGTAAATTGTTTATTTATTTATTTATTAACAAAGTTATAATGTAATTATAAATTATATCTAACTTAAATTTATAGAAGCTATGGCTACTTGGCCTTAAGCCTACTGATTTGAAAAAGAATGAAGGGCATTATAGTTAGGAGCTAGGATGGCAGTATAATTAGGGCTTAAGTACTTTGATTTATTTATTTTTTTTCTTTTTGCGTGTAGAAAGAGGGGTTTGTGGAGGGAAGAATTTTTTGTTTGTTTTATATTTGGTAGTATAAACCTACAGATTGGAGTTAAATTAATTGTATTAAGAATTGTTTAAAGAAATTGTTTTAATTTTATTAAGCATATTTTTCTCTTAAAATCTACTCACCCGTCTACAAATATGTAGGTAGGTAGGTTGGAGTGGCGTCTTTGTATCCCAAAATAGCGCACTTGAGCTCAAATGATGGCCTATTGTGGTACCACAGGAATGACGTTGGTATGTACATAGATTTAGATCAGTATACATTCAACGCCGAACAAAGGTAACGACTCCCCCATTAGGTAAAGGAAAACCAACCTGACAGTTCTATAAACTCGTCTACAAATAGTTAAAAAAAAATTTTTGCGTTATAATGTTGGTAATTAAATTTGAATTAAAAAAAATAATTTTATTATCAACTATGAGATATTGGAATAGTTTGTTATAATAACTAATTTCATAATTTTTTATAAATAATATGATCTCATTTGGAAAAGTGCCACGTTTTTGCATTACTTGAATTGTAATTAATTAATCGTAAAAAAAAACGCTGATTCCTGACATAATTTATAGATATAACAACTGTGAAATTAATTTAATTAAGTTTTGTACAAAAAAATTAAGAAACTTAATTAAGTCGTTGTGTAAAACCAAGAAAAGTAAAAACCCGAGTAAAAGTGAGAGAAGCAGAGAAAGCAATTATATATGAGAATATGAGAAATCTAGAATGCACGTACACCATCGTGGGTTCTAACCCATTCAACTCGATGGGGAACGAAAAAAAATTTGCAAACAATGATCGCACGATGATGCAAACGGCATTTGTTGTTTTGCTCTTTTCTGCAAAAAACGAATGTGTTTTTTTCGAAAGCTCGTTTCTCGTAGTTCCATGCGGTATATTTTTTGTCGTCGATTAGGCTTGTTAGAAGTTTTTTTTCCCTTTTGCGAGCAGTTTAAGTAGACACCGCTTGCGATTCGGACGTTTAAATCATTGGTTGCGGTTGTGAGAATCGGATGAAAACCGAGTGAAATAAATAAACCGGTTGTGTTCACATTTCCACTTCTGTGGATTCAAAAGAAATTTTAAACAGAAAACAGCGAATTACCAAAGAAAGGACTATTAATTATTTGATTTAATATTTTTATAAATTAAAGTATATAACTTTAATAGTGAATATTATTTAAACTTAACGATTATAAAAGACTCAACGAAATAAAGGTAAGCCTACACTTAAATTAATAAAGCTTTTTGCATCAGTGAACTGAATATATTTTTTTCTTACGATAATTATCTGTATTGTTTTGTACTGTGCTCTTCTTCTTCTATTCATAAAAGAATTGTTGTCTAAATTGAGATAACTTTTTCTCATCTCCATTAAAATTAATTAAATAAAAAAATGAGTTTTTCAATTAAATTATCTATTATTGAATATGTTAGACCGTGTGATCTATTGTTTCCTATGTGCCTAAAAAGAAACGTATTACAGTCGCATACGTACATACATATGTGTGTATATACAACGCAAACGTATTCTATAGTTATAGTTCAAGGTCTGAGAACAACTACGAGTATCTATACTTATGCAAAAAACAAGCTTATTAACCACTTGAGGTGTAAGTTACTTACCAAGTTATAATGATATGCTAGCATATGAATTACACAGTCTCTTAATAAACGCCCATGTCTAGCCAGATCAAGGCATTCTGCTAAGAAAGCCTACAAAGTGATGAACTTTATAAACCTGGTGAATATCCTGAAAAATTAGTTTATGGAACGGTGAGGTTGATTTCAAAAACAAATCTGTGTTTATAAACTAGATGAACAGAAGAGGAAGCTAGTGCCACCTTCAAACCAGCCAATATAAATTAAGTGACTGTTTAGTGGAAACTAAAGTCTCTAATTAAACAATATTTTTTTCTTACTTTTTTTTTTTTATTTTTATTCAGAAGTTACACATTGAACTTAAAAGATACGATTAACTTATATAAGAAATTAAAGCTATAGCGTTACAGGCCTTAATCTTATTTAATATATAGTTAGTTAGCGAGGATGTTAGTATAGTAATATTTTATGATGTATTGGATATGTCAGTTTTGAAATTAGTTATATAGAAGAGTAGATAAAAGATCTATATAATTTTTTCAATTTTAATATGTTACACAATAGACCAAGACTGAAGGTTAACTCAAGGTTATAACATTTCCGACAGTAAAAGTTAGTTTTGTTTTGAATTTACATACATACATATATCTTAAGTGTTCATAAAAAGGTTTCTAAACTTTGTGCAAACTATGTACCTATGCATGTATATATTTTATTGAGTTTATACATTGTATACATTTAAAAATTTTTGAAAGTATGACTTTTCACACATAATAACAGTAAATGCTGCCATTTGGTTTTTAAATAAATTTAAACAATATACCATAAAGACCCAACTTAACATTTAAAATTAAGTCATTATAAGGAACTATTTAAATAATATAATTGAATATAAGGTCAGATTTATATAGCGCTAGACTTTTAATTATAAATAAGTATAAATATATATAATAAGTACTTATTTATTATTGTATTTGAACCATACTTAATATAAAATAAGTAGTTCTGTACGTATACAAATCTCTTTAGTTCCAAAAACCGTTCTATACTTAATCTAATCATAAAAAATTTAATGTCACCACTATTTTAAACTTAGACATTTTCTTTCATATATAAACTCTTATTAGGTGTTTATACTAACCAGATTTTGGCAGAATATTTATGTAGAAATACACATATGTGATAGTTTATCAGACTGCTCAATGGTGAAGATGAAGGACCTATTAAATTACCTAAATTCAGTGGGATGGATTTAGTCTCTACTCTTCTATACTAGGGTTCTTGCGAGGAATGTGGTAACAAAACAGCGAAAAATCGCTAATTGAGGTATATTTGAAGTTATCTTATGACCTGCCACTGCAACCAACCAACTAACCAACTCATATGTATTATATTTACATTTAGTCTGTAAACAGAAAATTGTATGATAAGTCTTGTATTCACCATATTTTGGTCATTATTTTTTTGCATGGAGTTTAACACAAATTTTTGGCGCAAAATTAATGTTAGTACTAGGTTTTAGTAAAAAGGATTTTGTTCTAAAATTATTATTCTGCTACTGGCATCACCACAACTGTCCTTTTTATTATACTTTTCTTTTCTTTTCTCCTTAACTCCTTAACTGTAAACATTTGAGTTAAAACATGTTGCTTTTAAGACATACAAGAAAAAACGAAGCAGCAATGCAAATGCAAAAGCTATACACAGAAAAACCAATCATTTGCAACAATAACGATGTAGACTTGTGTACTATACAAGTTTGTTTGTATGCTTAAAATTTATTGAAGTGTATAAAAATTATATATATAAAATAAAAAAATTGCAAACTATACGATGTGTGATAATAGTAAATGAGACTACTTAACCGAAATTGAAGAGATTATACATCTATCAGATGGAAATTCTCCAATGTTTCAACAACAGAATAACAGTAGAGTAAGATTAAATATTGAAAATCTATATATGTATAAAGAATCAATATAAGCGGGTTATAAACAGCTCATATAAGTAAAATCGTTTAATAATAATTTAGGCTTACGTTAAATGTCAAATTTCTCACAATTATTATTTAAAAAAATTATAAAAAATTCTTAAATATTTTTAGATTTCGCAGAAAACATGAATTTATTTCTGTTTCTTATTTCTTAAATTATAAATTTACTCTAAAATTTTCGTATTACTCATATATTTGACTTTGATGGAGAATTTTCAATGTTAGTTATTTTTAAACTACTGATATGTATTCTTTTTATTGCAAGATTAACCGTTAATACTAAATTATATTAGTCTTATTTCCGAAACATTATCTCATGGTTTTATTGTTTTGTTTTGCGAGTTTGAGATAACGTGTACCTACTATATTGCACATAATATTGTACTTGCAAATCAGATAGAATTGAAAACATTTAATTATTAAAATAGAATTGAAACCTCCAATAGGTATACGAAAATATTATAAATATTATAATAAACTTCTATCAATATAGTTATAAATGCTTTATCTTGAATTCATTCAACAAGAGATGCAATGTACTTCGATATCGCAAAGTAATATAAGCAGATTACAGATTACCTATAATGATTGGAAAAATGAAAACTTAAGTAAACACAAGAAGTGATGAATCCAATAGTTATATGGATGGATAGGAACTTTAATGTAAAATAAAAACTATTTAAAAGTATAAACGAAACGAACAATTAAACCATAGAGAAGCAAGTATTATTGTCCCAACTATATCTAAAATTAATGTTAATTTTTTCTTGCCGAGAGTGACGCGTCTTTATAACGAAAAGAAACTATTTAAAAGTGTGACAAATTCAAATAGCAAACAAAAGACAAGAACAAAAATTATATTTAATTGATTGAAATTTGGCTGACCATACAGCGCTGTTTCGAGTATTGCCAAGTACTCAACATCAGTGCTCTTACATATTTTTAAATCTAAAATTATTATTTAATTATTATATGTTGCCATTAATTTTGTTAAAAATTTTACAGTTTATACCATTAAAGTTATGATTATAATTTTAACAATAAGAAACTTATCTGCTTTATTCAGATTTTTAATAAAAGATAATTTCTTGTTTGCTTCCCAATAAGTTTTTATTAAGGAAGTTATTAGCATCTCTTATAGTCTTTACTTAGGAGAAACAAAACTGATCATATTCTCCAAATGACTTAGAAAAGCTTCCATCGAAAGGTCACCTAAGTCTTTACTTAGGAGAAACAAAACTGATCATATTCTCCAAACCACTTAGAATAGTTTCCATCGAAAGGTCACCAATTATTCACAGTTCCATCTGTTCTTTATGGTTACAGTACGTGTGTTATTTTAGGGTTTTATATATTATTTCTGTTGTTTTTGAGTAAAAGAATCCATTATTCATTTACTGCTTAGTAACATTTTATTGTAATATTTAATTTTCCCACCGAAACGAAATTATTTATAAAAACCAAAACGAATATTTTTTATTTCCGTGGTTTACTTTATTCATAGATAATTTATTTCTGGCGTACATTAAGACCGAAAAGTTTTCGGAAATTCTCATTTAAAATTCGCGCGCTGTATATTTTTCGATATTTTAAGTTTATGTAGTTTGGCAGCACTGTCCTTAATTACTATGCCAAAAATGAGCGCGATCTGTCAGACAGTTCGTTTACGGCAGCTGTTGAAACCAGTTCACCTCAGTAGGGCGTTGCGAAAAAAACAATGGAAAAAAATATTGAACAAAGAGTTTGCATCAAATTTTGTGTTTCGAACGAAATTTCGTGTGCAGAATCGTTGCGAATGCTACAAAAGGCTTATGGGGAATCAGTTTTATCGAAAACTCAAGTTTATGAGTGGTACAAAGCCTTCCAGGACGGTCGTACGACCGTCGAAGACATTTCGCAACGCACTACTGAGGTGAACTGGTTTCAACAGCTGCCGTAAACGAACTGTCTGACAGATCGAGCTCATTTTTGGCATAGTAATTAAGGACAGTGCTGCCAAACTACATAAACTTAAAATATCGAAAAATATACAGCGCGCGAATTTTAAATGAGAATTTCCGAAAACTTTTCAGTCTTAATGTATGTTTGTCATATGTGCTCAAATCGGTTTAAAGTTTATACAGATTTTAATTGTAAAATTATTCATTAACATTAAATATTCAAATCAAAATTACCTACAAAAACTTACTATAAAATACAAATTATTTGCAAATTGATTTAATATAAGCAATACATATTCACCATTCTGAAGAGTGAAATAATCGCTCTATAAATATACTTAAAAATTATAAAGACAATAGGTCGCTAAAAACCACCTATTTTTAATTTTTACTTAATAGATGTGTACAAGCCGTATTGTAAAAACGCATGTATAATTCTTAACAATAGCCTCTCTACTTCTTTTGGGTCAATAAAATTTGGAATTCTATATGGTTAAGTTCTCTTTGGAATTCAGTTTCATAATTACTAGTTCTTTCCTAAGATCTTATGGTAACCATTTGACATTTTATTTCTGATTATTCATTTCATTCTTTCTACACTTCTTATATATTCGTTATGCGAGCTTCTAGCAGCAAGCATATACTCAGCTTTTTGGATGCATTGATGAATGCCTAAACATTAT